GAGGTGATCTTCACTTTTGGCGTCAGGCGCCAGGATGCGACGTCGAATGTCTTGGGCTGAGGATGCACGCTGACAGACGACCCCTCCACACCCGTCTTCTACTATTCAACGACTCGCGGATATCCAATACTTCATCGCATTTATTTTGCTTGTTCTTCAGCCGGCTGGAACGACTTCGAGTACATCATGAAGAGTTGGAACGGGCTGGAGGATGCGACGGCGCCGGTCAAGCCTGGACGGACCCCGACGCGGTGGCGTGCGCTGCTTTCTGCGACCTTCGTCACACTCGTGTGCCTCGCGGCAGTGGATACCATCTTCCCTGAATTGAAGAACTGGGATCTGTCCTCATTTCTAGACATTGAGCCTGCGTTGCATGATGCTGCCTTTGAGTGGTCCGAGGTATGTTGAGAGAGTGTTCCCTGAGCGTCGCACCGCACACGTGGTTCTGCAGCCACCCTGGCCCGCATCTTATCAGATCGAATGATAGCCTCGATCCAAGTCGCACAGCAGGTGGTTACTCTACTTCCGGGAGATGTCTTGGGCGCATGCCTGAGCACTACAGACGACCTTCGTCATCAAACGGCTCAATGAAAAATGTGATCGTGATTGGTGGCCTGACCAGATCCCATTCCGGTTCACCAGCATGTCGCTCGGACCCAAGTCTCAGCACTGTATCAACACAAGCGAACCGCAGCTCTCTACAATCTAGTCTAACAAGCCTGCTTCAGCATCATAATATCGACTGGTGGATGCAAGACTGACCAAGCTCCAGATCGCACCGAGTGAGCATCTAGCATTCCACAAATGCTTTGGCCAATTTGAATGCGCAAAACTGAGCCTGCCACTGGACTACTTCAACGGGACGTACCCTGATCATACTGTGAACATCGCTGTCGTCAAGCTACCCGCCAAAGTATCCGTAGATGATCCCCGGTATGGTGGCCCGGTCTTGTTCAACCCTGGCGGGCCCGGAGGATCAGGTACATCAGTTGCGCTCTTCTTAGCAGGAGGGCTACAACAGATCATAGACTCTAACGTTGAGACTTTCACCCCATCGCCTGACGCAAGATACTTCGACATCATCGGCTTCGACCCTCGTGGCGTCGGTTGGACAGAGCCAGTCGCTCGATGCATGCCAGATCAGCCTTCTTCGTGGTCTTGGAGCCTGAGGGAAGAGACCGAGGGCCTTGTTGGAAGCTCGGATGCAGCTCTTGGTAGACTTTGGTCTATGCAACATGCCTTTGGTGCATCTTGCAAGCTTGCCGAAGAGAAACAAGAGGGACCGGATATCAAGCAGTACATGTCTACCGCCTTCGTCGCCAGAGACATGTTGGAGATCACCGAGAGGCATGCCGAATATGTGGCGAAAGAGGTCGCTCATAAAGCTGCACAGAAGGCTGGCAAGCGCATTGGAAGCCAAGGCTCCACGTACGTTCCTGGAGAGAGTAAGCTGCAGTACTTGGGCTTTTCCTACGGGACTTTCCTTGGATCCACATTTGCGTCCATGTTCCCGGACCGTGTTGGACGTATCATCCTCGATGGAGTCGTGAGTTCGTACGACTACACCCACTCGATGGGTAACGGAAGTCTTGTAGACGTCGAAAAGGCCATGACTTCTTTCTATACATTCTGCCACAATGTGGGTCCCAATAGATGTCCTTTAGCCACCGCCAACTCAAGTGTTCTCGACATAGAAGAGCGCACGCAAAACATTATCGCATCGCTATACCACAACCCGCTTCCCATCGTCTCGGCAGAAGGCCCAGAACTCCTCACTTGGTCCACCATCAAATTAATTCTCTTCAGCGCTACCTACCAACCGCGCCTCACATTTGAGTTCGTAGCCGCCAGCCTATTCGCCATTGAACAAGGAGTTGGTAGGGAAATCAACGAGATCGCCGAAACCTTGCGCTACAACCACGTGTTCTCCTGTCCTGCCGACGGCAGCGAACCACTCGAACAGCCAAGTTCCCCTGTTTCCACGACAGCCATCCTATGCAGCGATGGAATTGATCAAACCCATCTGACCAAAGATGAATTCGCCGCATACTGGGATATCATGGACGAAGTTTCGCCGAACTTTGGTTCTTACTGGTCCATGCTACTGATGCAATGTGCATCTTGGAAGATCAAAGCTAGCTACAAGTTTGACGGTCCTTGGGGTGCAAATACATCACATCCTATCCTCTTCGTCAGCAATACGGCAGATCCTGTTACCCCTCTTCGCAGCGGACGCTATATGCATAGTCTATTCCCTGGCAGCAGCCTTATGATTGGCGATCATGCTGGGCATTGCTCGATGTCGGCACCTGACCCGTGTATCTTGAGTCGTGTCAATACGTACTTCCAGACGGGGGAGCTGCCGTCGCCTGGTACGGTGTGTGTGCCGCCACCCAGTGAGTACAGTCTCAACTCAACGGACCCGGATAGTCCTTTCTACGACCCTACTTTGGGGAGTGCGAATGTGGCTGCTATGCAGGAGAATGAAGAGAGCTGGATGAGGCTGCGCGATGCTGGTGAGTTACTCCAGAAGCAGGCCGTTGCGGGTGGTATGTTTGAAATAACCCTTCCGGGTGGTGAAAGAGCAAAGCGCGTTATGCAAAACATCTTAAAAGGTCACTATTAGGCTGGGAGTACACATGGTTGAATGGAGATGCTTTTCATTTCTATCTCGAAGTCCCAAATGACTCATATGGATATTGCTCATCCTTAACCCAGAACACGGCAACCGAGCTTCGGCGTCACACACACATTAGTCTGTATCCAAAACGAAATCATCAAAGAAGAAGTCACCATACTCTCCATGATTAACCGCCATTCCTATATTCCTTCTCCAGATACACCACCTCGAGGTCTTGATTTCCCACTTGTTTCCGGAATTCATTCGTATACCAGTCATCAGCACCGGTCACTTGATATGGTGCCTCCGAGATAATCAGTGTTTCCAGTGCAGGAAAAATCCGCAATGTACGCATGTTCTGTTCGATAGGCTCGCGGAGTCCCATGGCTGGATCTTCAGATTGAAAGGCATCCCAATCAATATCGATATGCCTAATCAACCTTAGCTGTAACGGTGTACTCCGCTTCCGGAGTTTCGAGAGGTCGGATAGGTCGAACTCGCGATGTATGAAGCGTGCAACAGGGTAGATGTGTATTGCGAAGTAGGCATGTGCGGTTTCCGCGAAGATTTGTCGTGATGCACGGGATAAATCGAGGCGGTCCCATTGGAAATGGGAGTCATGTTTCCAAGTCCTTGCGCTGAGATCTTGGGCTAGATCGAATATCTTGTTGCGGATCTCAGCTGGCAGACGCAAGAGAGGGGAATGAAGTTGGTTGCGCTGAGCACTGTTGGCGGTCAGCATTCCATACTCAGCTGCGCATTACTTCTAGTGAGGTATGAAACTAACATTGCGAGACAACTGGCGCTGGGTACGAGAGTGGGTGGTCCTTTGCATTCGTCCATTTTGACAGACGTGCAGGTTGGCAGGGTTTGAGTTGGGAGGTAGGAGTTTCAGATCAGTCGAATTGGAGTGAAGTTGTTAAGGAAGTTGAGAGCGTAGGTTGAAGAGGTGGTTGAGATTCATACATGATATACGGCAATGTGAGTCACGCCGCTAGCGCATGGAATACCAGTCGCGCATGAAAAGGTGAACCATAGATTACTTTCTTTCGTCACTTCATTCGTCCATTCGCTTCTACAGTACCAGCACTACCTTTGAGTCAGCCGTAGTAGGATTGAGTTCGGTTCGCCTATCCTTCGCGACCAAACTTTACGAACCCACATGCAGGAATCGACGCATTGGCATCATTTGTCGGCATCCATCCTAAAGCGCCACATACACCCTTCATCTTGCTGAGTCTCGATGGCTATGCATCCGGGATCCATTGCGGAGTGCTCAAGTCCTCATACATGGTGTACGTGAACTTTAACCGCGGATTCTCCATCCAACCCCTAAGCCGAATTTCGCACAAAAATCGAGGTCTCGTCTCTTCGGATGCCCCGGAAATATGTAACCGCCTCAGCCCGCTGTGCGCAAATGGACAGTATTTACCTGGTTTTAGGCCCACTGCGTTATACCAGCTAAAAGCAAGGGCCCCCAGCATACGGAACTGAGACGGTGTGATCGGCAGTACGAGTCCTGACCTGCGCGGCGGGAGTTTAACCACTGATAACGTAGCGTAGTGATATGGGAGGAGTCTTAGTTCGAAGTACGCGGCGGCGGTCTCAGCGAAGACCTCGCGCGAGGATTGGACAAACAACATACGATCCCAAAAGTAGAGTTCTTCGTGATGCCACCGCCATATTTTCGTAGGGACGAGTTCGAGCGTGTAGGCGTAGATTTTGTTACGAACCTCAGCTGGTAATCGCAGAAGAGGTGATTGGATTCTATTGCGTTGAGCGCTGTTGACTGTTAGCGCCTGTGTTCGTAGATAGTAAGGCTATGCGTGAGCAGAGTCCGGTTCAATGAGATTATACTTACATTGCGAGGCACTTTGCGTTAGGCACGAGAGTAGGCGGGCCTTTGACGTTGGGTGTAATGATGGGTGGTGCAACACCGTTGTTGAGATAGGCGTGATGATAACGGGCCAACGTTGGGTCGAAGGGTTGAAGATTCAGGAACGACATTCTTACTGTGGAAAGTGTTGAAGGTGCAAGGTGACGGAAGGGTCAGAGGAAAAGCTCAGGAGGTGAACGCGCTAGTAAGTTATCGGCTTGTGACATCTTATGAGGTACTACACGCACCGCCAAAGCTTGCACCTCGCCAGTCCGCTCTTCTACAAATCACCACAATCTAAAAGTCACTGCAAGTGACATGTACTAGACATGTAAGCTAGCATAAGGTAAGCCTGAGATGGGTACGCTTATATAGTAAAGAGTTTCTACTTTCGCTGTAACTACACAAGGTGACCCATCCATTTCTTGTATGCTTACGCCGCCTCTCCAAAGGGACTGATACTACGCAAATATCAAATATCAAATATCAAACGCGTAGCCCGAGTTACAAGCCATCAATGAGAACCTCCAGCGTTTCTGCCTTTCCTCCGATCGATTTCACGTTCCAAGCATCGGTGAAACTACCTCTTCCGGGGAAAGTTACCATACATCTGAAGACCACGCTCCTGCATCTCTTCATCAACTTGAGCATCATTTTCATCAGCCTGGTGGTGTTCTCTCTGCGATCGGAGTTCTCGTAGGCCGAAAGACCATCAATGAAGCAGAAGACAACGGTATCTTTGGGAAGCTGCTTCGCGACGGCCTGGAAGACATCGAATGTCGCCTCTATGTCGCCAGCCTGCACAGCACAATGATCTTCAAAAGACAAGAACGACAGGTCTAAATCGAGGCTCTGGGCTTTCTTTCGTCTTTTGACCTGAGTCAAGAGTTGAACCGTCAAACTTGCAATGAGTCCCGTCGCGTCAGCTCGTGGCTCACGCCATTGATCTGTGTGACGACTGCAGAAATAGTTGAGACAGAAGATCTCGTCCGACACACTCAGCAGGTCAGTGACTTTGGCACACACGTGCGAGAGCGGTGAAATGAACTGCGCGGCGTCGTTGTTACCATTGACTAGTAGAAGCTTCGACTCGTCCGCACTGGCCACGAAATCACCAAACTCGGATGATTGTAGCACCCACAATGCTCGATTGCGAAAGCCTTCGCTTTGAGTAAAGCCCAACGCTAGACAGTACTCTGTATCGTCTTGAACGGTCTTGAGGTCGATATCAAGCGTTCTCAACAAAGTTTTGATGGTGATGCTGTTACCGATGGTAGTGGACGGCCTTGGGGGAGAGGTTTCTCCTACAGTCAGCAGGGCAGGAGTATTGGTATTCGAAGCGACTATCCTAGGTAAGCGATCTGCCATGCCAAAATGCGTATGTAGAGACTTACGGCCACCAGTCTTCACGTTGAAATCTGGATTCGCCTGCAAATGACGCATGAGATATGTGCAAACTTTCTGCGCGGTGATCTCTGTGCTAGAGTCGATGGCTAGCAGTAGTTCCTCTTTCGAGAGCTCATGGCGAGCCTTTTCTAGACGACTAGTTAGTATCTGCGTATCCTACAGTTACGATGTACGTACCTCGAGAAGCGCGAAGATCGCTTTTCTGATCCATCTCGGCAATTCTTCGTTGAAGGCAAAGATTCGCCTCTTCTCTTAATTGCAGGGCTTTGTTCTTCATCTCCTCGATGGCATCTGTGAGTTCCTGTTGATGCGCACTTCCCTTCATCATCGCAGAGGCACCTCTTCCTTGGCTTCATCAGTACATTGGTCTAACAAAAAGTCCTGTTCGAATTGACTTACTCCATGAGCTTTTGGCAAAGAACTCAACTATGACTCGCAAAACCACGAGGATATCTTTGCAAAGCTCAGCAGTCTTCTTTACCAAAGTATCACTCGAGTGAGCTTTGTATATCTCCACGTATGCGCTCGCATGGGACAAGGTTTCTGGTATGGTGGCTAGGGCTTCGTAGATCGTCTGCTGGGTGCCGCTTATATTACGAGCCGCCTACGCTTGTCAACATTGTGTAAAGATGGTGTGCAAGACGACGTACTTGGACTCCCAAGATGAAAGCACCGCTAATGGAAGATGTGTAGTCACCAGCCGGCAAGAGCGCCAGCCAATGTTCAAATATATCAGACTTTTCGCACATTCTTGCGAAGACGGTCTTCTTGTAAGAGTCGCTAGCAGTCTGTACTTCGGTAATGACTTGTTTCCAGGTATATGATCGCTGGTCTTCATGGGTTCTCTCCGTCACGCTATCTTTGCGTCGTGTTTTTTGCTGTAGAACGCTCATTGCTGCCAGCAACTTCTCTTTTTCGACGGCAGTGTCTTGCCAAAGTTCAACCCTGGACGTCTTTTAGTGCTTCTTCGAAACGTATCGAGACAGAGATGGCCTACAGTGCGTTCTGGTGTTGCTCGGCCTCTTCCAGTGACACGAAACAGTCCATCTCAGCTACATAGCGAGTGTTCTCAGCTAGACTGATGGAATTCAGAATGAAGTCGGCAGAAGCATTGACGGGAGACATTGTTCGGGTTCTTCGACGCTGTAGCAGCTGTGTGCTGTCCTCCTGGTTAAATTTGGAGGCCATTTCGGAAACAAAAACGGTACAATCAGCCCGCTAGAGTTCTTCGCGACGCGGATGATTCTTGGCTATAGGATGAAAGTCAAAGCAAGAGAGTGCAGACCTCGTAAGACAAGCTCTCTGCTCTTCCTGATGGGGACCGTCGTTCAATTGGCGACTGCAGGCAACTGTCGCAAGGCTGTGAATGATATGGTAAGGAACAGCCTTCTCTATTTCTTGCGCCTCACTATGAACTTGTGGCTACGTGATGTGCTGTCAGACCGACTCTGTTGCCTGATATTTTTCTTCCAGAACTGCAAGGGTTTACTGGCATAGTAGCAAGCCCGATGACTACTCACTAAAAGGCGAAGTCATGTTTATTCGTGTGAGGGGTGCATCTGGGCATCAGCGGAAGCAAGCCTCTGACCCCACCAACCACGGGTATCAGCTGCAAGACGGGACGGCCGAGCCAACTTTGGCATGTGGCTTGCAGCCAAGTTATGCAGTGAGACTCCTTACCGATGGCTGTGCTGATGTAGGATACCAGTTTTGTTACAAATTGCATTTCTTGCCGTCTTGGCGTGGTGCACGCGACGTGTCACAGCTGAGCCTCTATTCCAGCTGTCAGTGCTACCATGCACATTTAGGGTTTGCTAAGCCTTCCAATCTGACCGGTTTCAGGTAGTCGTCCAGGATAGTTCCCAAAAGACTCTCTCTTCCACGCATTTTGGCAACCGATGCGTGTATACTTTTGTCTCTGACGCATACTACCATCACCTTCTCATTGAGAACATACACGGCTCCATCACTCGGTGTAATCCTTGAACATACTCATCATGAGTACCGCAGATTCTTCGAACTCCTATCAAGGTTTCAATAACCGGATCTGGGAGCAGAACAAATCTATCGGAGTCAATTACAACGAGCAGATTAGTGGACACACTCAGAGTCCACCAAGCCCCGGCCATGTGGACGAACGCCGTATCACAATCAATGTGAGCCAGGACGGTGAACAGCCTCTCCATATGAAGGCAAATGGTATCGAATACCACGAATCGATCTCGGAGTCCAGGAAAGAGGTCAGCATGCATCACGAAAGAACGCAAGATAGAAGATCTCTAGCGGGCACTGTTTACGGACCCCCGATTGGAGCGCCGCCCGGACACTACAAACGACCTGCACCGTCTGGAATACCACGTCCGCAGATCACCCACGTAGGTAGCTCGGCGTTCAAGAAAGGAGGGATCAACTCCGTCATTGAGGTACTTTTGGAAGAACCACGAATCAGCATCAATTCGCGGTCTAGGAAGCGCTCTTCCGTTCACGCCGGACTCGGTCGCACTTCGCCTTCCAGGGCACTTACCATCCCGACGGTGCGACAGAACCCGAAGCGAATTCGCATTCGCTCTTCAAAACTCCTCAAGACGCTAGAGCACCTTGCAGAAAGTGTCGGATTTAGCTTTCTGACTAGCGGAACGACGTCTCTTGTAAGTCCACTAAGTCTCACAGTGTTGTTATAAAGCAGTTCTTCTCTGATACTCATGCCGAATTCCAGGTGTTCCAGTACCCGTTCAAGTTGTTCATAACCCTCGAGCAACCAATAAGAAAGAAGCTTGCACAACTGTACGAAACTGTTCAAGAACACAATGAAGTCGATACCCTGAGGCCGGATACAGAGATTGATCGCCCCTTGAACAATGAGCCTATCGATATCGAAGCCATACAGCAGCTGAAGCTACTTGAAGAGTTGTATGATACGGATCTCAAGCCGATGTTTGACATGCGGCGGGATATCGAAACGAAGAAGCTGGCTACCATTTCGTACACAGACCTATGGCATCTCTTCCGTTATGGACAGGAAGTTAGGGCCAGCGACAATGATACGCAGGTATACCGAGTGTTGAGGTGGACGGGAGGACGCGAACCTCTTGCGAAGCACGGCCTATTGGCGGAGCTCCAAGCTCGCGCCGCTCTGGATGCCCAGTCCGCACCCCGAAACGAGAACCGGGGTGAGACATTCATTGTGGAAACTGCCAGCTTTGAGTTTGATGGTTTCCACTACGGACCTGTTCAAAAGACGTTCGTAGTCCGGAAATACGACGGAGAGAAACCAATCACTAGTCTTCCCATCTTTCCGCTAGCTTTCGATCCGTCTCACGAACAGCTACGACAGCGGTTGATACATCGAGGCAACTTGTACCTTCAGCTTTCGCAAGCCGATCAAGCGTCGCACAAACACTACCACGGTCTCACGCTAGATGAGCCCCACGAGGAGGTAAGCTTTTGGCCTTGCTTCCCCTCCTATCATGTGTTGACGTATAACCAGGTCGACTCCCAGATCATCGTAGACACTAAGATGGCTATGCTTCGATACCATACTACACTCTCACCTGTAGGAGTGGGTAGCTTAGTAGGTCACAATCTTCGAGAAACGTACGAAGAAACAGTCAACCCCACCGTCACCGACGGCGTCTGCGCAGAAGACGGATGCTGCGACAACGAGCTTGTCCACAAAGACTATGGTTGGGACATGCAGCATGAGGAGCGATATATGGAAGACCATAGATTCGACCTTGAGCCTACGACCGACCCGGCCGATCTTGATGATGAGGACAAACTTCTACTGCCTCCTTTCGTGTACGGGTTCGTTCTGCGAAGTCGCAAGTGGGCCAAATTCAGTATCGACTGCATCCGAGATGTCGAATACACCAGCGGGTTCAGTGACTTGGTGTTGCCCTCTGGTCATAAAGAGACTGTACGGGCATTGGTTGCGAATCATGCACGACTACCTACTACAGGAGGAAGTGGACCGCAAAACCAGAAGTCTATCGATCTTGTTCGGGGTAAAGGGAAAGGCTTGGTCATCTTGCTGCATGGCGCGCCCGGTACGTGCTCCTACGAGTGGACGATGGTGAGATACGCTTACTGACTGAGGGGTAGGCGTGGGAAAAACCTCCACCGCGGAGTGCGTTGCCGACACTACGAAAAGACCGCTTTTCCCGATAACGTGCGGCGATATAGGTGACACTGCAGCTGAGGTTGAAACCAATCTCGAGAGTAGTTTCCAGCTTGCACACAAGTGGGGCTGTGTCCTCCTCTTAGACGAAGCCGACATCTTTCTCCAGAAGCGCGACAAGACGGACATTAAGCGCAATTCGATCGTGTCGGTGTTCTTGAGAGCACTTGAGTACTACAGTGTAAGTTGCTGTCAAGTACACTATCGTGAGGGGCTGCCGATCTAACATCTAAACTTCAAGGGTATCCTGTTCTTGACGACCAACCGTGTGGGCCTTTTTGATCCAGCCTTTCGTTCCCGCATCCACATCAGTCTCTACTATCCTGGGCTTCAAAAGGATGCTACGATTCGAATCTGGAAGATGCATCTGTCGCGCACTCAGGAGATAAAGGGCGATCAGTTCAAGATCAGATCAAAAGAGATCTTGAAGTTCGCCAAAGAGCATTACATGGAACTCAAGAAAGCTGGTTCAGGTAGTTGGAATGGAAGGTATATATTAGCGCAACTATGTTTTATAGCACAGATAAGGCTGACAAATGCGACAGACAAATCCGCAATGCTTTCCAGACTGCGATCGCCCTCGCAGAATTCGAGACAACGGAGAAGAATGACGAACACGGGGTCGGTCACAAACCTCACCGGGTTGAACTTTCTCAGGAACATTTTTCCACAGTTGCAAAAGCCTCTGCTGAGTTTGACACGTATCTCAAGAGCACACTTGGAGGCCAGACAGAGTCTGACATCGCTAGACTGGAACAGACACGAATGGATGAGTATTCTTCGTTGAGAAGCAGAACAGATGCGCACCTCCGGCCATCTAAAGCCAGGGGAAAGACTGGAAGAAAAGGGAAGATTGCGACTGATAGCGAAGATAGTGATAGAGACTCAGAAGAGAGTGAACGAAGCGAAGACTCTGAGAACCAAGGAAAGGCGAGTGACTCACAAAGCGAGACCGAGGAGGAGGAGGAGCGGGTTATCGTGAAATCTTCCAAGGGAAAGAAGGATGGAAAAAGGCGCAAGTAGAGTTGTTGTTACTTCAGATTGGAGAGGTTCATTATGTACTCATTCCATATAGACCACGTTCAAAATCCATCGTCAATGCCAGACTGCTTCTCGGTTGCTTGCCTTTCGTCGCTGATGTTCCAAAACCATGCATGAGATACCCGGTCAGAATCGTGATGTACATCTCTGGTGTTCCAGGGCTTCGGTGCCAAGATGTAATGCACATTCTTGACCTCCTCGTCTCTCCAGATTGCGTCATGAACACCTCCCCATCGCAACGTTTTTAGAGCGTTGTAAATGTATGGCAATGCAACCCATCGACCTCGGAAAAGATCGGAAAGCAACGACTGGTCAGCAAATGCATAATCTGCCGTTTGAGGCTGTTGTAGGGCTTCCAGAATGAGATCGTACACAGCCTTGCTTGGATTGACTACCTGGAGGCCTCCGTTCATGTACTGAAGTCCAGTTGTGCAGGGTGAGCCGACCTTTTGCGCCACATCAGGCTTGTCATGCTGATGTGTAAACGCACAATTGGTGGGGATCCTATTGTCATCTTAGTGACTCGTATCTCAACAAGGCTGAAGGCATGGAAAAGCAAGGTAGCTAAAGATGTGGGGGCATACACATACCAATCTCGTGGGTAGTGTGGCTTCTTCAAAGGATTGCACACACATGCATGTGACGCAGCAAAGACTTTATTGCCCTTTCCTTCCATTTCAGGCGGATCGAGATCGAGGGTCATCAACTCGTCCATGTTTCTCATGATGAGCATATCACTGTCAAGCTGTACAATTCTCTCGTACTCAGTAAGCCCGTAGGGCACCATCTTAGTCCAGCAGTCATAGAAACGTGGATCATTACTGTAGTCGTTGGAGGCTGTAGGCAACAGATAGGGAACGTGCCGCTTCCGGATACCTCGGCGATCAAGTGCCTCGTGCGCCTGCAGTGGAAGCTCATCCGTGTACAGGACGATGAGGGGATAGACGGATTTGGAGCGTTTTAACGAATAGTCGAGGGTCAGCAGTCCTGGCAGATAGGCTGTGTTGGTGAGGAGCGTCGTCCAGACTGTCCGTGATAAGCGGAACGCCGTGGAACGCACCGATGAAGGCGCGCGGCTCTGGAAGGTCACTCACCCTTTGTGGAGATTAAGGACTCAGCGCCAGCTGGGTTATCGCTACTGTCTGAAGATGCCATCCTGTCAACAACGAGACTGGGGCTTGGTGACGCCGGATCGTGTGTGGAGGCGAGAAGATTCCAGCGTCTGCCGTGGTTATACAGTTGACAGGAGGGGTATGGTAGCCTAAAATCAGGGCGACCGACATGTTCTTGTTCAATCTCTTCCAATCAAAACATGTGGCGCTCATGCATGGCCTCACCGGTGGGGGGTCATAGCAAACCCTACCATACTTGGCAGACCTGGAAAGGTAAATGCCCAGATACCTTCCGTGTGCACATAAGCGATTATGTCTACTTCTTCCGAGGAGCTCTTCCTGTGTAGCGCAATACCAGGCTTGATCGAACACGACAGCCTGCACAAAAATATTGCGCACAATCAAGAGCCTTAAGGAAAGGAACGACCACGCTGTCTCAAGGTGTCACTCTTCAAAATCTCATTTGGCCAGTAAACAAAAGTCTACCAGAAGGGGTAACGGAATGGTTGTTGATGGAGAGTGAATCTTTCGCACGCTACCTAGGTATGAGAAGAATCTCCGTAGGCGTAGACGCGGGATCTTGCATTAGTCTACGCGACCACCCAACTACCCCACCCCACCCACACAGCAAAAGAAACAAGTCGCACACATGCATGCCCATCACGCGGCATGAGAGAGGTATCCAGCCGCGTTCAGCCCAACTCTATATTCGTCGATATATTCCCGAGGTTTGAACTTTGTGGAGGCTGTGCAAAGGAGCCGCAAGTTCACAGGTATCGCGTAGGGCCCCGCAACAAGTCCCTCCAAAGACGGCCCGATTTCAACGATATGTCAGGGTGAAGGAAATTGCGATGCATGTTCGTCTTTGCTAACGCTAATTGAGAAGATTGATGGGTTGCATGAAAAGCTGCGATTTATTCTTGACAGCACATCTGCAAAGTATCGTGCTGTCGACAAACTTCCAAAACTTCTTTTTAGTAATATAATGAAATTCTTTAGATCTTTACATGTAAAGGCAATGTGTAACTCGCCCCTCCAAGCGTACTGGTTGCAACCGCAATCTTGATATTCCCATGCATCGCGCTGTACCACTCGATTTGCCCATCAGGAAGTTCTTTGCGGCTGTGGAATCGAGCATCTTTTCCACTGATGTCTTCCCAGCTCGACATCCCTTTGTGTCGAATGGAGGTTTTTGAAACCCCTTCTGCAGATGAAATGTCGAGGTGCCAATCGTATCCGACCGCCGCTTCATCGCCGTCTAGCACTTGGTGACCTGGGAAAGTCTTTCTCTCTAACCAATCTGTTGCGATGTATCCCGACAATCTTCCCTCGTAGGAAACCAAGCGCTTTGCGACATTCTCAAGTTCCGTTTGAACCGCAGTGTATGCAATCTCAGCAAATAGCACTTCATCCTCCGACGTACTGTCGACTTGTGGTTCGGGAATAATGAACTCAACTCTTCTCAAACCCGGGCCCAGTTTCGAAAGAGCGGTGATATCAACCTCCGAGCTCTTGAGGGTGTTGCGATAGCGGAGCCGATGAAACGAGTACGAATACGGCATGTTGACTCGCAGCTTGAGGACTCGTAGGTGAAGCATATCGATCGTAGAGAATCTCGTCAGGCTGCTCAGGTATGCCGTGTATGTACTGTGAGGATGGAAGACGATTGCCGCTTGAGCCAGACGTTTCTCGTCGCTCTTTTCCATCATGATGACTGACAAGCCAGTAGTGAGCTGCAATGAACGGACTCTTGTGAGCGAGAGGATAGATGTCGGTCCTTTCGTCATGTCGGCTTTGTGAGCTTTGGACCAGATCCAGCACATAGACTCCTCGAAAAAGTACTGGGTACTCTCCCTCAGTATTTGCCGATTCGTTAGGAGCCACCTTGGTAGTTTGCGAGCTCGTTCATTGTACCCATGGCTTCTGGTGGATATGTTGAACTTGCAACCGGCATCGACGAAACTGTAGACTTCTTCGCTGAAGCAAAACCCGTAGATCTCGTAGCGTAGCTCGGCTGGTAGCTGCAGAAGCTTCGAGGCGTTCGGACTGCTCTTGAGAATCAGAGTAAAGGGGTCTCTCGTAGCCACTTCTTCAAGGACAGTGATGGAATTCATGCTCGTTTTGCCTGGAGAGTATAACAAGATCAGGGTAACAAGGCTGAGATCTGCGAGGTAACTGTGAGACGAGGATTTGAATGTAGCCTGCTGGGGCCAAGACGTACAACAGACCGGTCAGCCACAGACGGATGCAGCTGTGTCACGTGATGAGGGCTTCCGACTATGTAGCCGCCGCGAAAAGCCAGCAAAGTGTTACACGCTCCAATCACCGCACCTCGCACATCTTCACATGTAACTTGAAACTTGCATGGTGAATGAAGGATGCGAGCAGACACACGCAGGTTTTAGCGGAAAAAGAACGGCTGGACAAGTGGGTGGGCGATACGTGGCAGATGCCAGTAGACTCGACTTCCGAACTTGTGTTGCATACCTACATATGACGAAGCATGTACCAAAGTCGATGATAGCAAACCCTCATTGTTGATGCGTGAACATCACAAGACAAGTGTATGAACAGAAAAGTCGATTTAACAAGAGACTACTATACAGCCAATCCAACTTCGTAACGCCCAGTCACGCCGCAACCCAATTTTGCGTGACAAATATGCACTCTAGATACGATTCCCATCAATTCCAACCATGCAAGTCAAAGCATCTACTCGTCATCCTCCTCCTCCTCACTATCCTCATCCATGCCCTCCGCAGCCTCGACCTGGAAGCTAGGCGCCTGATCCACACCCAGATAGCTATCACTAACCAGATAGCACGTCAACTCATGGCTACCCGGCTTCTCGAGCGTAAACTCAAGCACAGTCTCCAACTTCCTCAGAATAGGCACCTTCTTAATCGCAAGCAGCGTGTGTTCCTTCTGGTCACCCACAACCAGCCACCAGCTCTCCGTCTTATCGGCAGGGTAGAACGGCGCGTGGACTTCCATCTTGGGCTCCTCGTCTTCCTCAATGTTGCGCGTGATGCGCACCTTAAGTTGGGCGGGCGAGTTGGAAGCGATGGATTCGGGGTCGACGAGTTCGTGCTCGATCTCGATGTTGGGGTAGAAGTTGTTTGTGAAGTTTGCAATGTCGGCAAGTTGGCGTTGGTCGACGTCGAGGGCGGAAATGAGCTTCTTATAGTCTGGGTTTTCGTCTTCGTCCATGGCGTTGATGAAGTCGTCGACGTCGTTGATGCCGAATTTCTGGGCGGCCTTGATGGTGTCGGCGTCGAAGTGGGGGATCTGCTTGAGAGGAGAGTCCTTTTGCCACATTGCTTGCACGACCATCTGGGAGAGTTCCATGGCGGACATGGCGTTGAGATGAGCCTCGGATGAGAGAACGTCGACACTTGCGCTAAGGATGTTGAGGACCTTTCGCAGGACGACTTCTTGGTCCTTGGCCAGGTCGACGGGGAGCTGCATGCGTGAGAAGTGAGCCTGCAGAAGAACGAAAGCCTTGAAATGCGGCGTCTCGAAGTTGGGTTCCTGCATCTTGAAGGGAACGCGGTCGTAGATGCGCTGGAGGATGTGATCCTCGTGCCTCCGTATTTGGATGTCTTCGAATTCGGTGGCAGCTGTGATGATCTCCAGTACACCCTTGAGACTTGTCCTGCCGTTAAGCGACATCATCAAAGTCTGCATGGTGATGAACGAAATGTTGTAGTACGCCGCGATCATGCACGGGTTCAGAGGTGTGATCGCATCCTCGTCTTCATCGTGCTCGATGAGGTTGGCATCGGTCAGCTCCTTCAGGGTCGACTCAACCATGTCGGACAAGTGCGCGCTAAGTCCCTCGTGCGACGTGTCATGGAGGTTGTAGTAGCTGGGGTTGGCGAGTAAACGGCGGTAGAAGTATGTGTATGTTGACCAATCGACAGCTTCTTGTGTTGACTCAATCGTCTTCGCGCTGATCTCGGCAACAAAGGCGTCGTGAAGGTAGTCGGGAAGGTAGCTCTCAATTGGAAGAGCCTCGTTAAGGAACTTCTTGTAGTATTCTCGCTTCACCGCAGGCAGCATAAGCACACCCTTGGCTGACTTGTCCAGTCCTACTCTGCCGGCCTTGCCGAACATCTGCAGGATATCGCTAATGGGGTAGTCGACGTATCGATGTTCGCGGCCCTCGTAGAATTGAGTGCCTTGAACAATGACGAGATGAGCACCGCTATCAATCTCCCAGCAAGAGTCGCGCGATACGATGAGCACCTGGATCGCGCCAACCTTGAAGAGATGCTGAACAGCCTTCTTGTCGAAAGAGTTGAGGGCCTCGTGGAAGTATCCGATACCATGAGACAGCGACGAAGCCAGCGCTTGCTCGTTGATCTTCTCAAGGATAGGTTGAATCTCAGATACTTCAACGTTGAGGAAGCGATCCTCGTCTTCGTCAGCTATGCAAGCGTTGAGGAGGTCAGCAGCTGAGTTTCTGGCTTGCTTCCTGTTCGGGACGAAAACCATGGCCGGCTTGTCTGGAGACATTTGCGTGATGGCAGAGTAGGTCGGCCTCGCCATAGCCATCATCAAGGATGGGAAATGGGGAATCGTGAACGACTGAATCTTCAACTCAAGCGGTACTGCTCGGATGGCCGGGCTGAAGTTGTAGATGGTGTGCTTGGTTGCACCGATCCATTCACCGATATCTCGTGCATTCGACAGAGATACACTAAGTCCAACGATGCGCAGCTTCGACTCTAATTGCGTTGCCATTGCTTGCATACGGGAGACAACAATCTCGTAAACGTGACCATTGGTGCCACCAAGCATGTGCAGCTCATCAGCGATCAAGAGAGAGACGGACTGAACATTCTTCCGGCGCTGCCATTGACGGGAGAGTGAGTCCCACTGCGAAGGAGTGGCGAGGATGAGATCACCCCTCTCAAGCAATCGCAGGTCTGCCGTAGTCTCACCAGTGAGCTTGACAACGTCCTTTCCTCCACTGAGACCGGTCAACCGCTCATTCCAGTTCTTGTACTGGTTGTCGACGAGCTCTTGGAATGGTGCTAGGTAGACAATGCGGCCTTCATTGTTGGTAGCCCAGTGTCGCAAAATGGCAAACTCAGCGCAGATGGTCTTGCCAATGCCTGCCGATGCGCCAATGAGAGCATTGTCATCTGTGGTGTACAAGGTGTTGAAAGTCTGTGTCTGAACTTTGTTGAAGCGACCGATGTTCTCGTACAAGCCCATGTATTCCTTCCTCTTTAGGGCAGAAACAGGCAGAGGTTGCAGATCGAGAACGGGAGTGTGGGCAGGGAATTTCGCTGGCAGGATAAGCTTCTGGAAAGAGACAGCGAGCTTGGTCTCAGATGCCATCCATCGGTCGGAGAGAACGGTGATGAAGTAGTTCGGTGGCATGGGCTCGTCGATGGGCACAGTCATCTCCAGCAGATGTTCGTTGGCGTCGCCATCGGAGTAGTCCCTTCGGAGGATGAAGGTGTCGTGGAACAACACCTGCTCGCCATCACAGTCCTCGACCAAGATCCAGAATGCCTCTGAGGCTCCGTGCAGCTCTGTGTCCCAAACGAAGTCAGGTCGTATTGTCAGCTCCAGACGGAGTAGTGACCTCGTAACTGGCCTGGGTGTCGCTTCTATCTGGAGGCGCGGGAACTTCTCTACCAGACCACAGACAAGTTTGCCAGCCTTGGGCATACCCAACAGCTCACCCATGCTTGGCGGGTCGAGGCCGAAGTAGCTCGACCAGCCAACGTCGATGCGCTCAGCCTTTTGCACAATGTCGCGGGGGCACGTGGGGAATTGGCGCAGAGGGGTCATGGTTGGCCACATACGCTTCTCAGCCATCTTGCACATGTCGAGAGCCAGCTTAGCGACTTGCGACCAACCCTTCTTGAGACAGATCTCAAAGATGGCGCGAAGAATACGTCCAGCGGATTGCGTAACGTAGACCAAGTCAGCCATCAGCGCCAATCCTTCCAGCTTAAGGCGAGAGATATAAGCTTGGAGAAGAACGTTGATCTTGGCTTGGGCTTCCTCGAAGCTCTCCTTGACTGGGATCGGGACCTTTCCTAGCAACTTCGCAAGCTCGAGCTTCTCGTCTTGACGGACCGGGATGTACTTGAACTCCTCACTGAGTGCAAAGACACGGAAGAGCTCGATAGCGCTGATGCCGGGCTGGATATGCATGTTGTATGTCGCCATGGAGTTGTGGGTGATGTAGTAGTGGGAGGCAATTCTTCCAAGCTCTGTGGGGTTGAGCATACCGGTTTTCCTGTCATACTTGATGAGACTGCATTTCTCCAGGACATGTGCAGCGGCGTGAACAAGGTCCACGCGTCTTTGCTCGAGCACAGTATCATTCTCGTACTCTGGTCCAACCCGGTAGAGAGCGGGTGAACGAAGCATTCGGACGAAGAGGTACGTGTAGCCGAGCCAGTCCACCGCTTCGTCCCTGTTGCGCACGTTACCCAGAACAATCTCAGCGTTGAGGTTATCTGCAAGCTTGCTGATGAGCTGCGACTCGATAGGCAACTGTTGGTTGAGCAAGGATAGGTAGTACTGGATCTCAGACTGTGTGGTGATGATGATACCCTCTCCGTAAGTATCGTATTGAGGTCGACCGGCACGACCCAACATCTGCAGGACATCCTGAGGGCTAAGTTCGACCCAACTACCCTTTTCAGGGGAGTAGATCTGCGTTCCCTTGATGATGACGGTATGCGCGGGCAAGTTGACACCCCAAGCCAACGTTGCTGTGCACACAAGAACCTGGATAGAGCCATCGGCGAACAGATCCTCCACGGACGTACGATCCGCTCGCGACATACCAGCGTGATGGATACCGAAACCATAAGGCATGACGTCCTTTAGGTCCGCGTTTTGAACCGACTCGGATTCTTCTCTCAAGATCTCCCGACTGGCAGCATCTGACCGAAGAATCTTGCCTATTGACTCTTCCTCAAGTGCCTTGTCACGAATGTACTTCGCAGTCTTGGCGGTTTCCTTTCGGGAGTGCACGAAGATAAGCATCTGATTGCGATGTTCGCCAACCTGTTCCAAAACCTTGGTATAGCAAACGTCGTTCATCGTCTTGAGTTGCTTGATGGCCTTCTTGTCTGTAACA